GAAGGATACAAATGTCTTGGTGGTTACAGAGGAATAAGTGAGGAGGAAGTGGCATACAAGAAGGTTGGAGGAGAGAAGGTAGCCAGACATGGAGGGCGTATAGGCCAGGGTAAGAGATGTGAACTCAGCTCTAAATATTGTTGTGTTTTTGAAGGATTGAGTGCAGGGAAGTAACATGATCTGATTTATACATTTTTTTTTTGAGACAGAGTCTCACTATGTTGCCCTTGGTAGAGTGCTATGGCATCATAGCTCACAGCAACCTCAAACTCTTGGGCTTAAGTGATTCTTTTATCTCAGCCTCCCAGGTAGCTGGGACTACAGGCACCCACCACGATGCCTGGCTAGATTTAGGTTGCAGTTGTCATTGTTTAGCAGGCCTGGGTCCGAACCTGCCAGCCTTGGTGTATGTAGCTGGTGCCCTACTCACTGAACTGTGGGCGCTGAGCCAGTATATATATATTTAGACAGAGTCTCACTTTGTTACCCTTGGTAGAGTGCTGTGGTGTCATAGCTCACAGCAACCTCCAACTCTTGGGTTCAAATGATCTTCTTGCCTTAGTTTTTCTATTTTTAGTAGAGACGGGGTCTTGCTTTTTTGCTCAAGCTGGTCTTGAACTCATGAGCTCAAACTATCTACCTGCCTCGGCCTCCCAGAGTGCTAGGATTATAGGTGTGAGCCACTACGCCCAGCCTGATTTATATTTTTAAAAATCATTTTGGCTGTTCAGTGGCACATGTATAATAGGTATTGTTGTTCTTAATATTTCTTCCTTTTTATTTTTATTTATTTGGAGAAAGAGTCTTACTTTGTCACTCTCAGTAGAGTGTCATGGCGTCAGTAGCCCACAGCAACCTCAAACTCTTGGGGTCAAGTGATCCTCTTGCCTCAGCCTCCTAAGAAGCTGGGACTACAGGAGCCTGCCACAATGCCTGGCCATTTTTAGAGATAGGATCTTACTCTTGCTCAGGCTGGTCTCAAACTCCTGAGCTCATGCAATCCACCCACTTGGCCTCTCAGAGCACTAAGATTACAGGCATGAGCCACCACACCTGGCCTATCTTTATTCCTTTTTAAAGAACTTTAGAAATGTAGCCCAAAACATATATTGTAATATCTTACTTGGGACAGATTCTGAACTCCAATATCTGACTCTTCCCAGAGCCAAAATTGCTTGCTTTATTTTAAAGAATTTCTACGGGTGGTGCTTGTAGCTCAGAAGGGTAGGGCGCCAGCCTGATATGCTGGAGGTGGCAGGTTCAAACCCAGCCCTGGCCAAAAAAGAAAAAAAGAATTTTCTACTATGTACACTTTAGAAAAAGGACTTAAAAGAATAGTCCAAAAGTAGAAGGTTTTCAGATGTTTTTCAGAATTCCTTGTCATCTTGTTTCTTAACTCATTTTGTACTTCTAGAATCCTTTTCTTTTGTTCCTTCTAAGCGCTATATAAATTATCTAAATTGGAGAACTGAGTATTAATATTTTCTATCCCTTTGATCTGTAGTCCCTAAAAGATAAATTGCTTCAAGAGAAAAAACTGTCCAACATGTATCAAGTTCAGTGTGTTTCCCTAGAAGAAGAACTTGCCCGAATTCGTGAGGAAGAGGGAATGAGGAGAGAGATCTTTAAGGTACAAAATTCTCTGCTACTTTTGATAGAACAGTAAGTGTAGATAGTTCAGGGGAATGTTTCCTTCATCTTCATAAATGCCTTCCCATTCTCTACATGTTAGGATCGCACAAACAAGATGGGGAAGCGTTTACAGATAATGACAAAACGCTATGAGGCCTTGGAGCATCGACGAATCTTGGAAGTAGAAGGCTTTAAGACAGATATTAAGGTTCTCCGACAGAAACTGAAAGACTTGGAGCAAATGCTCTATAAGGTAATTGCTGGTCCTGAATTAACCAAAGGGAAAAAAGAGGTGGAAGTGAGGAAACATGAACATGGTCATGAGGGCTCCTTAAAAGAAGGATGTGCCTTGGCAGTGCCCATAGCTAAGAGGGTGGGGCGCCGGCCACATACACCAAGGCTGGTGAGTTTGAACCCGGCCCAGGCTGCTAAAACACTGACAATTGCAACAAAAAAATAGCTGGGTGTTGTGGCGGGCACCTATAGTCCCAGCTACTTGGGAGGCTGAGGCAAGAGAATTGCTTAAGCCCAAAAGTTAGAGGTTGCTGTGAGCTGTGATGCCACGAGCAG